CGAAGCAGGCACAGTCTCCCTATGTCCCGTTTCGACTGAGTCGCTATTCTGGTGCTGAACGAACCCGGCTAGGCCAGTTTCGGGCCATCTAGGGCGCCCTTAAATCCGTGGCATCCACCCTTATTTCCTTCCACAGTCATTCTCCCATCCACAACCATCACCATGGCTAGTCTGCCCAAGCAACGCGATCGAACCAAGGAGAACTTCGACAAATCCTGCAAGAGAGGCGCCGCGCAATTTCACAAGATAAGCAAGAAGTATGGCGCTCGGGTCTACGTGCAGGTATGCTGGAGGGGGCGGCACTATGATATTCTTCGTACTTGGGGCTGCCTTGTACGAGTCCTTTAGGCGCTTCCCTTGCTGGAAAACCTGTCTATTCTACTCCACACGCCCATCTGCGGCCATAGCAAAGTTCCAATGGGCTGCTGCGATCAGTGGCGTTTCGCTGCCTTTGTCTGCCTGCAGATACCATGGCCGGAAGCCATAGGCGTTACACGGGGTTAAATACTGCTTTAGGACGCTCAAAGTAGTTGAAGCAGAATGACCGACATAGAACTAGATGATGTTGCGTGAGTAAGCGTCGATTGCGGCGTATATCTCGAAACTATACGCCTTGAGCTTGTCATGGCCGTCAATGCACCATTGATAATTTGGCCCTGGCACAAGGAACTGTCCCTTCTTCCGCCGAAACATCCTTTTCCGGATATCGACCTCATGTAATGTAATGTAATGTAATATTATTTAACGCCGGGGGATCCTATATAAGGCAAAAGGCGCTCGCACCGGCTGCCCACGCAGTTCTTAGATTGAGAGGGAGGGGCGAGATGATCTTGTAGTGGGGATGAGGTCTCAGTGAGCTACAAACGGCTCTAGAGAACAGGTCTCTTGGGGTCGCTCTGACGGGGCCTAGGTGAATCCTAAGGCCGTGCTAGACGGTGCTTCGGGGCTTAGAGGTCGACGTTGGGTAGGGTTCCGCTTCGCTGGTGTGGTGTCCCTGTGTAGGTAGTTCTCGTTCTCGGTATCTAGTACAGGTCGTGTCGAAGAAGGAGGAATGGTTGATCTGTTTGACGAAGCTGGGCCAGCCTAGGCCTAACATTGCGTCGACGTATTGGTTGTGTCCCAACCAAGGGGGGTTTTTATTAGCCTTCCTGCAGAACAGAGGGTGTGCTGGTGTCTTGTAGGCACCGCATGAGCAGGTCATCTTGGCGTCTTCGTGGTTGAAGCGTCTATGGTACTTCTCGAAGTCGCCGTGGCCAGTCCTTGCGGCGATGACCCAGTGGAGTTCCCTCCTCGTGAGTGTCTCTATTTCGGCAGTGGGTTTAAGGGGCGCTTCAAGTTTGAGGCCGGCATATCCTGTAGGCATGTTATGAAGCCACCACTGTTCGTAGGCTTGGCGGTGTTCCTTACGGAGCAGCCTGCGGACGTGACTGAAAGTGGGCTGGGGATCAAAATGCGGTCTTTTGCTGGCGCCCCTCTTCGCAAGCTGGTCGGCCATTTCATTGCCCATGATGTTCATATGCCCCGGGGACCATCGGCAGTCTATAGGGATATGGTGTTTCCTGACGTAGGCTCTGAAGTCGAGGATAGCTTCTTGTGAGGTGACCGGGGGGGTGCCGTTCAGGCACCAGATGACAGAGGTGTTGTCTAGGCAGACTGTTATGGCAGACGTGTCTTCCTGTATGCAGTTCTGGAGGCAGGCCACGAGGCCTGCCCTTGCTCCCTCCGCTTCTGCGTCGAAGACTCCTGCATGGGGTAGCGGGCGGCAGCCGGCGCGTATAGAGTCGTGGCTAGGCCCTTGGTATACTGCGTACCCGTATCCTGTTTTACGGCCTATCTGTGAGCCATCTGTGAAGACGAGGAGGTGCGTCAGGGGTAGCCGTGCCGTCCAAGTGTTAAACGCCTTAGTAGCCTCCTCTTTGGTAGCATGCGTAGGGGGGGTCGCATGTATGCGGGGGCAAAGAATCGGCCTTGGGAATAGTGGCACGCTGGTAGCGGCCTCTGTCAGAATGGTCGGTCTGACTGCGTTTCCACGGTTTCTGCGTGCTGTATAGTTAAGGATCCTAGGTACTAGGGGGTGCCCTTTGTCGAGTGTGCCGAGTCTCAGGGCATGCCTTGTGCGTGCCATGTCCAGGAGTAGTTGGATTGGAGGGGTACTTGACTCTCTGAGCATGGCCTCGATAGGGGTCGTCTTCCACACCGGGAGGGCCCCTCTGATGGCCGAGTTGATGGCGACTTGAAGTTTCCCTATAGTGTCTTGTAGGCCGTTTCTGACGCGGGGGAACGTGCCGTTAACCCTTTGCTTGCCGGGTCGTGTTGGGCCCGGGTACCTGATTTCCGTGCCGAATAGGGCCTTCGGTAGTACGATTGTGTGAACTGCTTTGCGCATCGCGGCAGGGGGGGCGCACCTATATACCCTATTAAGGCCGCGGATGTGGCCAGCCGCGGAACGGGCCTTAGCCGTCCTGATTTCGACGTGCTGTTTAAAGCCGAGTTTTAGGTCAAGCCAAATACCTAGCCACCTGAGGGTAGTGCTAGGGAGGATATTTCTGTCTCCATGGCTAATGGCTATCTGGGGCGCGCGGTGCGCCCGTGAGAAGTGAATGATCTCTGTTTTGTCTGGGTCGAATTTTACTCCGTTCTGGGCCCCCAGGCGAGAGTGGCAGTTAGAAGGCTTTGGGCTGCTTTGGCAGTGTCTTTGATTGTCTTGCCGACGCACAGGGTGCCGCAGTCGTCGGCATATCCGAATCTGTTACCTGGGGGTCCCATTTTATGGATCGGCTCCGTGTATAGAAGGAAGAGTATTGGTGACGCTGGGGAGCCCACGATATCGACCTCATTTGGGAACATGATCTTGTACATCGCAAAGAGAGGGTCTCGTGGTACCCAGAGCTGCTTTTGCTGACGAAGATATGGCTGAAGAAGGCTTTTACCATATCCGGAAATGGCATTAGATCGTTGTGTCATTTCGATGATGACTTGCTCTGTCTTCTCCAGCAGCGCAAGACGTTCTTCGTCGCTATTGATCCTACGTACCCAGCGGCGGTCTGGGTGAAGCCTTATACGCTTCAGACCTTCTTTGGTGATCTGCCAGCCCTGTCGCTGTAGAACGCTGAATGTCTGCTTTCCACTGAGCCCAACGCGGAATATCAGGTCGCGGGTAGCCTCTATCAGCTCTGGGCTTTCTTTGGTACGAGCTTGCTGGCGTGGGAGATCCCAGCTTGCGATTCGGCGAGAGATTGTGCTAAGATTGACGGTGACATGATGATGCTTCCTAAGTTTATACTGAATCCTGCGTCGCGAAACACCGTTGAGGTAAAGATGAGTGACATAGTCACGATGTTTATCGATTGAGCTAGGAGGACGTGCAATTTTTGGAGCGGGAGAAGTCGTAATGGGGGGTGGGTGAAATTCTGAATTCTGAAAACAGAAAAAAGGGGGCGGTGCACGATGGGCATCCGCACTAATCCGCAGCGGTATTGCGACTGGCCCGCAGCGGTGACTTGCCCGGAAAAGCTTAGCGTCACGTTGATCATTGGTGGAAGCCGACCAAACAAGGGGTAGGACCAGTACTTACAGAACCCTAGATCCCTTCCAAACGTCATTCCACCTTCCCTCTCATACCGTCACGTCCGTGGGAAGCTCATAGTCAACAACGCGTCATGCCCACGGTCATCCCGA